CCACTTATCTGATCTAACACAAACAGATGACACTTGAGAGACCCTCTGACAGGTGCGGGAATGTATAGAACATATGTTTGGAATGGTTTATCTGCCAATCTCTTTGTAATCTTATGAGCGACATGAGTGTGTTTGCATAATTAATACCATGACAGAGTAGGGTGATGGGAGGATTGGCTGGGAACACGAGCGTGCCGTCTCCCATCACCCATGGTAATGATCAGGACTTGAGAGCAGCCCCGTGTAAACAATCCAGCTGGTAGGAGCCTACAGTTATGAGCGGAATTATTATTACAAGTGATGATCGCCGCGATATCATACCGTTATTCCCCTTTATATTGACTACCGCAATGGGCGGGGGACCCAGGCGGTGAGTCTCTCGCTGAGGGAGGACAGGAGGGGAGGGAGGGAGGGGTGGAGGGGGGAAAGAGAGGGGGACAAACCATTCAGGGTTCGAGTGAGAATGGAGATGGGGGGGGGAGGGGGAGGGAGGAGGAGGACAAGGGCGTAGGAACCATAGGACACCTGGATTGGTCGCTGGGGTGATTGACACTATTCACGTGGCTGGCGATGCCCTGTTTTAAATGTATTTATTTCGAGTTATTGTTGCTTGTGGATACGCTTGAAAATCCTCCATTAATTTTTTCGTGAAATAACAATGTTCCAAATCACATTGCAACTTCGAACTCCTATGACATCATATGAAAAAACACGCCTTCTTTTGTAAAATATATGAGGGCGAGGCGCCTCATGCAACAATACATTATTACAGCTTCCCAGACGAGTGCATCCACTCCAGCTACTCATCTCGTATAACCACTCTCATCCCGGTTTTCCACCTCCTTATTACCACCAGTTTTCCGTACTTTCATCTGTAACGTTAGCGCCACTTTCAAATGCATTACCAAGACCACCTGGAGAAAACTCAGGGAAGCTGCAGGTAAGTGGCGCTAGGAGTGACTTCCGAGTACACTGTGTCCTCGACCCCCTCTACGGAAACATGGCTGTCAAGTGGCATATCCTTCTCGCCCCTTGAACAAGAAATAAGCCTCTGGGTCACGTCTGCATAAGGAATCATTTGGCATGTAATATACTCTCCACAAAAGCCACTAACTTTTGGATAATGATAAGGACAAAACCTGGACATTCTCTATAAAAGTCATCGCCGGGCGACTTTTCCAAGCCGCTCATGCTAGCATTCAATGTGTTGAGATTAAATGGGAAAAATAATTTCATTCTGTAATTTTCAGTTAAGCCAGATTAGTAATTTACAACACTTTCGTTACTATACACACAAAAGCAACTCAGATTATATAAAGAAGTAAGATGTAGTGCCATGGATATTACCAGGGACTTCCGCTACCAAAGTGGAAAGGCTCAGTAAATTCTGTGCTTGTATGGTTGAAGTGGGAGGGAGGGACGGAGGTGGTTGGGGCACCAAGGCCGGTCCTGGGCCCTCAATACCCACCCAACGCAGCTGCCCCTCAACACTCTCTATTCATCACACCGTTTGGAAAACTACCGCTTCATTTCATAGCGTTTCATCCGTTTATTTATATAATCGAGGTGACAATACCGTAAATAGTCGAGCGGAAAATTCGGTTGTGGTGTCGAAAGTTTGTGGAATCGTGTGACTTCGGTGAATGCTCACTTTAACGTGTATTATCCGAGACCGCCTTGTAATGCTCGTATAAATGACTGGGTACAAAACCCGATGGAGTCCGGCTGTGCCCGACAAGGACGGATTTGAGATTGATACCCTGTTTATGAGGACGGTCACTCGGGCCTATTGTGGCCTCCCTCATTATGTTTTCTGTCAGTTGGGCCGAGCCTGGCCACGTGCCGCTCTTCAGCTTCCTCTGGACAATTGTGTTTACCCCGACGGTGCTGCAAGAAGGAATTTATACATACTAGAAACCTTATGGCTACTATCTATAATTAGTACATATGATCCAATTTCTTCAGCTCTGTGCAAATATTTGTCAAAATCTAAATATATATTATATATATATATATATATATATATATATATATATATATATATATATATATATATATATATGTTGTTTTCTCGTAGCAGATTCAATATATGTATATAGACGATTACAGTTTCGGATCATTTTGCTGTCTCAGACCAGTGAGTCTCAGACCAGACCAGTCTCAGAACATCAATAATACTCACATTCCTTTTCTAATAAATTCTTGACTTCGGTAGAGGTCAACTCTCACGCTACATCTTTTCCCTAGGCTGTAGTATGGTATATACTGAAGTCCTTTATACTTATATGTGCCCCCTTAAGTCTCCTCTAGGCTTTTGCCTGCTGCAAATATACCGAAAAAGACCATAGACTGTCTCGGGTCTTTTTTTTCTTTTTTTTTAAGGCTGTGGCGTTTTATATACTACATGGGTCTTGATATGACCATAACCAACATCTCTAGGAGTAGACCAGATATAACCCATATGTCTTGATGTTAACCAAGACATAACCCACACGTTAACCCAGTCATAACCCACATGTTAACCCAGTCATAACTTACATGTTAACCCAGTCATAACCCACATGTTAACCCAGTCATAACCCACATGTTAACCCAGTCATAACACACATGTTAACCCAGTCCTAACCCACATGTTAACCCAGTCATAACCCACATGTTAAGCCAGTCATAACTCCCATGTTAACCCAGTCATAACTCACACGTTAACCCAGTCATAACCCACATGTTAACCCAGTCATAACTCCCATGTTAAGCCAGTCATAACTCCCATGTTAACCCAGTCATAACTCACACGTTAACTCAGTCATAACCCACAAGTTAACCCACTCGTGACCCACATGTCTGCCGTTGCAGGTCACGGCGGGGTGAACCAGCTGGGCGGCGTCTTCGTCAACGGGAGGCCGCTCCCAGACATGGTTCGTCAGAGGATAGTGGAGCTGGCCCACAACGGCGTCCGCCCCTGCGACATCTCCCGCCAACTTCGCGTCTCTCACGGCTGTGTCTCCAAGATCCTCTCCAGGTACGTGCGTACTCACGCTTCGTGTGGTCTGGTTACCAGGAAGTAGTGGTAGTTGTGGTAATGGCGGGCCACGGTGAGACGTGGTGGTTGTTGTAGTGATGGTGGTATTATGCTCTGAACTATACCCGGAATAATTCTTAAGGATTGATTTTTTTTCTTCCCTGGTTAGAGGTTATTTTGAGACGATTTCGGGGCTTAGCGTCTCGGCGGCCCGGTCCTCGACCAGGCCTCCTTATGTTGTTTTTTGTTTTGCCTCTTATTTGGTGATGGTAAGGTTTGAACCATTCTGTAAATAAATCACACTAACGTGATATAACATTAACGTGATAAATCATTAACGCGATTTTCTCAGTGATACATCATGTTAATGTGATTTCTTTGTGCAACCGTTTGTGATGTGATTGTGAGGTTAGAGGAAGGGTCGTAGGTCTGTGTGAGTGGTGTGCAAGGAATGAGGAAGATGTGTAAGAGACTCGAGGTGTGAGTGAGGAACTACAGCGATGCACATGAGAGATGAGGAACGGGTAGAAGGCCACCAACGCATGAGTGGGACCAGATTCACGAAGCAGTTACGCAAGCACTTACGAACCTGTACATCTTTTCTCAATATTTGGAAGCTTTCTTTATAATTATTAAACAGTTAATGAACTCCAAAGCACCAGGAGGCTGTTTATAACAATAATAACAGTTGATTGGGAAGTTTTCATGCATGTAAACTGTTTAATAAATGTAGTCAAAGCCATCAAAAATTGAGGAAAGATGTGCACGTTCGGAAGTACTTGCGTAGCTGCTTCGTGTATCTGGCCCCAGAACTCATCGAGTTAACGTGGAAGATGCCATACCTTCTGGAGAAACAGATTTTTCACTATTATTATTTTCTACCACAGACGTGGCCACACATTTACAATGCTAACCAGCATATATACATTTCCTTCTGTCCTCCATGGACAGGGTTAGAGATGTGTTAAACATATAGTTAAGGGCAGGTCCCCCGCCATTGGTACCCCCCGTCTTGATTCTCAACGTACATATTCTGAAGCAAAACGTCTTTGTACTATGAATGGGAACAAAACAACATTGTTCCATAGTCATTCATGTCGTCTGAGGCAGTTTATCCACGTCTCCTGAGAAAAACAACTCTACGGAGTGATTCCTCCTTTTAATATTTTTTGGTACATTCGCAAATCTGAAAACAGAATGAACAAATTCACAAGGGATGTGACGGGGATTCGAACCAACGTCTGTGAACATCCCAGACGATTTCTGTGTGTACTGAAAGCAGAATGCTCTCCGCAGCGTCCTAGAATCTCTCCGGTAACACAAAATGCAGATGTAAAACGCATCGGGGCTTGCGCTCTGCGTTCTTGCGTTCTGCGTGGATGAGGGATGACAAGTTGACGCGGGTAGGACGCCATGTTTCGCCCCTGACCGCACTTCAAGTCTCAGTTAATCCGCGCGGGAAAGTAGTGCGCCCTTTTGGTCTTCAAACATCGCACTCCATTCATATTATGACCCTTATTATTAAAGAGAATAGATTATGTTCTTCCTCGCGCTTAATCACACTCTTATATTGAGTCTTATGATCCGTTGTAATATGAGGGAAAATCGCATATACGTCCTTACGAAAGGGAAGGGAAACAGGTCGATAATTCGGTAGCGCTGGTGGGTATATGCATGAAGCTGGTCATCTATGAATATTCCGATGACTTGTGATCTTGTTTTTATATCATTTCCGGCCGGTGGTGAGGAGCTAAGAGTGATTTCAGACGGAAATAATGGTTACAGGTCCCTAGTGAGCGCATGCCATTATATATATATATATAATATTTGAACATTTTTCTACTGGCAAGAGATAAAAATTCGCATACATATATAAAAAAGTGCATTGAAAACCATATTTAAATGTATAAAACATATTGCGCATTTTCAATGAATCTTTTAAACCTTTAATTTTGAAGCTTTTGTTATCATTTTATTGGTTGCATCATTCTCACATATCAACTAATTCGCCACACTGAAAAAGTCAGCCAGTCGCCACGTAGCGCGTCCCAGACCCTCGCTCCCATATATTGCTCTAATCGAAAACACTCCATCAAAATATACTAGAACAGAATTACATTTCTCTTTTTCTCTCATATATATATATATATATATATATATATATATATATATAAATCTTATTAAAAACAGGTTTGATTCTAAAATCAATGTGGGAAATGAGGCGATACATACCAAAACACAGCCAGGGATCCTGCAGGCCTAATGGCTTCTCTCTCTCTCTCTTTCCACATGTCCCCCTTCTCTCTTGTTATCCTACACATTCTCCTCTACCCTCTCCTCTCTTTGTCCTCCTCCCCGCTATTTCTCCGACTCTCACCATTTCTGTAAAATGGAGAGTGTCGCCCTCTTTTCTGATGCTCTGGTCCGACCCATGTACTCGCTCCATACTTCCCCGCGTGTGTCAGTGGCAGCAATATCATCCCTGCTTCTTCCTATCTTGTTCACATTGCCGGTTACAACACGTCCACTCACAGCTCGACGTTACCATACACAATGATTCTCTCTCTCCAGGAGTCTTCTCTGGCGTTACTCTCTCTCTCTCTCTCTCTCTCTCTCTCTCTCTCTCTCTCTCTCTCTCTCTCTCTCTCTCTCTCTCTCTCTCTCTCTCTCTCTCTCTCTCTCTCTCTCTCCCTATAATCATCCCACCCCTCTCCCCCTCACCAATTCCCATCACCTCCCTCGTCCCTCCCCGGCTGAGAATGGGGCAGCCAAAACACACCATAACAGCCCTAATATTCTTGGTGGGGACCGGCACACGACCTCATAATGGCACTCTAATGGAAAACACAGAAAAGAATAACCATAACAAAACTGGCCAATCGCATCCCTCCCTCCCCCCCTCCCCCCCCCCCCCCCCCCTCGGCCTGCGGTGACGCGCCTGTGTCCCTCGGGGATGGAATTGATTCTGGGTTTGAATCCTCTGACTCGGGATGGATGGATTGTTCCCATGAATGATTGGCAGCGTTGTGGGATTCTCTCTCTCTCTCTCTCTCTCTCTCTCTCTCTCTCTCTCTCTCTCTCTATCTCTCTCTCTCGGAGGCCTGGTCGACGACCGGGCCGCAGGGACGCTAAGCCCCGGAAAAAACTCCAAGGTTTCTCTCTCTCTCTCTCTCTCTCTGAAACCTTTCCTCCTCTTCTTTCTTATACTTTCTCTCTCTATATATAGCTTTTCCATATCCAGGATTTTTATGAGTGATAATTAACTTTTCTCGTAAAGTTCCTAAGTTGAAAATGAGAAAATCAGTGTAGGAGCTACGAGAATGATTCGAACTTGCACACTGGGTATTCCCAGGCACACGGCCTGCACCACTTGACCACTACATGCTCCAAAGCAATGGAACCTGGGATTCACCTGAATCCTCTAGGGGGGCCTCAGGCTTCCACTGAAACCAATTCAGATTTTTACGCATTGGTCCCATGCACTCTGGCTGCGGTATGGTAGTTCTACCTTCAACGCTTCTCTTCAAGAAGCAATCAGTAGGACCAGTATTTGAGTTCAGTGGAAGTCTAGGGACCCCCTAAAGGATTCATTTGAATCCTAGGTTGCATTGCCTTTAAGCATGCATGTCATGGTCTGGTGGTCTAAGGCATGTGCTTGGAAGTACCCGATTTGCAGATTTGAATCTATTTACTTCAAAGTGAACCGGAGCACCAGGTGAATGAAAATCCACCGGAAATCGAACCCGGATCCTTAAAGGACTAGGACCTACCCTGAGCGCTGTCCGCTCGCCCGCGAGGACTTCTCTAATGTATGCATGGGGTGTGGTGTGTTGGGGCGGGGGGGGGGGGGTGGGCTGATGTGTTCCCCCTCTGTGTGGCGGCTACTCCGAGGGGAGTAATACAGAGAATTAAAGTGAGCCCCGGACCGTCCCTCTGGTGAGCCTGGTCTCTTGTCTCGCTCATAGCTTAGCTGGCGTCGTGAACGGACTGGTGTTGATCCGGTTGCAAAAAATAACAGGGAAAATCAGCCGTATTTGTCACCTGGGAATGCACAGAGAGGGAAGGGAAAACGAAGGCGGGAGAGAAGGGGAAATGGAAAGGAAAGGGGAGAGGAAAATGAGGAATGGAATGAACAATAGACGATAAAAGCCACGAAATTGTTGTCGTGCTTGTGTGATAGACAGTCATTATTTCCTGATGAGGAAAGTTTTGTTAATAAACGAATTTCGTTTACATATGATTATTTTTACTCAAATGTATTCGCTAACCTGCTTGGTGTCTGTCAGAGCGTGTTGTTGAACACACACACACACACACACACACACACACACACACACACACACGGTGCTGGGACCAATTCTATTTCTTGTATATGTTAACGACATGTTTACAGGCGTAGAGTCCTACATGTCGATGTTTGCGGATGACGCAAAGTTGATGAGAAGAGTTGTGACAGATGAGGATTGCAGGATCCTCCAAGAGGACCTGAACAGGTTGCAGAGATGGTCAGAGAAATGGCTACTGGAATTCAACACGAGCAAATGTAAAGTTATGGAAATGGGACTAGGAGATAGGACACCAAAGGGACAGTACACGATGAAGGGGAACAGCCTACCTGTAGCGACGCGTGAAAGAGACCTGGGGGTGGATGTAACACCTAATCTATCTCCTGAGGCACATATAAATAGGATAACGACAGCAGCGTACTCTACACTGGCAAAAGTTAGAACATCATTCAGAAACCTAAGTAAGGAGGCATTAAGGGCGCTTTACACTGCCTACGTAAGGCCAGTCTTAGAGTATGCCGCCTCATCATGGAGTCCCCATCTGAAGAAGCATATAATGAAACTGGAAAAGGTTCAGAGGTTTGCAACGAGACTCGTCCCAGAGCTACGAGGGATGGGGTATGAGGAGCGCCTGAGGGAACTGTGCCTTACGACACTAGAAAGAAGAAGGGAGAGGGGGGACATGATAGGAACATATAAGATACTCAGAGGGAT